CCTTCAACAATGAAATGCTTTACTGAATTTGAATTCCTGTGACTTCCATATCACCACTGATCTGGATACCAGCAATGTTATGGGGATCAGTACGATGAGCAAATGAACAGAACCGTTCTCCATTAATGAGAATCTAAAAACCCCATCATTAATCGGTCAATCTAAGCGTGATTTCCAAGGCAGCAACTCTAAGGAAGCATACAAGCAGATGTCAATCTATGAAGCAGATTTTATTCTATGAATCCCTAACAAGGAATTCATTAAAAAATTAGAACGCATTACCTGGAAGGCATACGATTCATTCTTGATAACGAGGTCAAACAAGACACCTTTTTCTAGAGGCATCTTGCCTTCCCTTTCCTCATTGCCCCATTCGCCAGCTTCTAAGGCGTTACGAACTATTGCCTAAAGGCTTGTCATGAAAAATGTCAATAGAGCTTACATCCAGTCAGTACAGTAAAAAACATCACCTTTTCATCAAAACGAGGGTTAAAGTGAAGTGCAATATCGCCATTTTTCTTCAACAGGTTAATCACAAAGCGCTTCGCTTTCTTGTCAGGGCAACCGAAGATAAGAAGAGATTTTTGAACACCCAACCCTTGGGAAATTCCGCTTTCATAAGGAACAGGCTGCAAACGGTATTAACTACGGAACAACTAGTAACATTTGCCTCCAAAGATTTCATATTTTAAAAAAAGCTGAACTGGTTTTTAGAAAAAATCAAAGCATAAATAGAAAAACATTTTATCCGCATCATCCGAACAAGATCATTAAATAAACAACGACCTGTCATTGTTAAATTTGCTCTTTGTCTAGCACAAAAGATCCACATTAAAACGGCAAAAAAAAGTAAAAGCCGGCTTGTTCGAAAAAGTAGCTTACTTGAAAATAACTGTTGAATGAAATATCAGTTTTTTTGACTTCAGTGTAAACTTCCTAATGATAGTATTATGAAAATTCGATCCGAGAGGTCAAATTTTAAAAAATCAAGATTTTCAATTTACCGCCGGATCAGCCATTCAATATTTAAACGAAAGAAGTAACCGTGAATTAGCTAATTTAGTACCATGAGAACACAATTTTTCAAAAAAAAACTTGTAAAGATTTTTACCACACGCCACGTGCTGTATGGAGAGAAAATTAAATAATTTTTGAAAAAAAGAAAGTGCTCACGTAGTATTTACCACCCCAGTGGACTTGATTCAAATACAAATCGCCGTCAACGGAGAGGTGAGTGACTGACGCCAATGGTAGACGATGTTCGTAATCCTTGAATTCCTTCCTGTCACAGTATATCTGAAAGTATTCTTAACGATAATTTCTGAACACCAACAGAAAGTTGAAAAATCTCATCCATAGTGATAACCCAAAAGCGGACTTACGAAAAAAAAAAAGTCGAAATGTATACCTGGAAATGATCATCGTGGGCTCGGATGCGAAGGTCAAAGGGATCACCCTTTTTGAACGGTAAACTTTTTCTGTCTTCTTTGCCCCACTCACCATCGACAAACGAGTTCATCACAATCTTTAAAAGGAAAGCCTCAATGGGGTTCAACCTGCTTTTGTTCTATGTTGCTAATACTCGATACTTAAATTTCGTTGCTTTTTTTAACGAAAAGAAAAATAACAAGTACAAATTAAAAGTAAATTATTGCCGAAATACTTGGTATACTACGAAATGAAATTGAATTTGTGAACAACTTACTTTGCCCTCATCAAATCGGACTGAAATATGCAGTGGGACATTATTTCCGCTAAAGTCTGCCGATTTTGAATGGAGATTTACAGTGAATCTGAAAGTTTTCCCTAAGTATTACTCATATTGGTCGGAAGTTCAAAGTAAAGCCAACATAATGACCGTACCTCTTCTTCTTCTTTACCCCAGTTAATGTCTGAATGCCAAAAAAATTGAGGACTATTCATAACCATTTTAATTTTTATTCCAAGTGGCTAATTAAATCACCCATGTCAAAAATGACAGTGATATCTGGTACTGTAAAAAAACAGTCTTCAAATAAATTTATAAAATGAAATTAACCTCAGGCTCTCTTCAATAGTGGAACCCTTGACAATCAGGGTTTGTCCAGGTTCAATTTTTTCATGTAGCTGGCTTCTGTATGGGATAGGCTGTAAGCAGAAGGCTTATACT